TTTTTAAGCTACAAACCAATTATCACCACCACCGCTATAGTCAACTTATAGACCTCGTGCAAATGTCCAAGGATAAACTACTTAGACAGAGGGATAACAAGCATTTATTACAATAATGTATTCCCACATTTCACAGATTTTGGGCCTCTTAAACGGCTGTGCACTTTACAAGTTACTTCCAGACTCAGGAGCTCAATTATGAGACCTACGAGGATATAATTAGGGGAAAACGTATATCAAATGGACTGAAAATAATTTGGATTCTTGCAAATTTGATGTGAGAATTTAGTGACAAACTGCATCACCAATAAGCACCATTAAAACAGGGAACCCAGCCTGCATGACAGTTCTAACAGTTGAAAAGATGTACTTATAACGTTAAAAGGTGAATTTAAGGGTAGGGAGTACATTTATGTGCATCAGTTAAGTAGATATGGGTGTAAAAACAATGGTACAGTTACATGGCTTGCAGCTTTATCCATTTTATAATGAATGGACTGTGGGTGGGATATTGTGTGTGTGCATGGAGAAAGAATGCTAATGCACATTAAAAAGCTGAAGCAAGAAAAAAGCACCATCATTATTGGCTAAGTATAAAAATAGGGCTTCAAATTAACATACATAAAGTGCGAGCCTATATTACACCTTGATCTATAACGCCGGTCTTGACTTTGCCATGTTTTATCATCCCAGCAGGGGCCCTCGAGCGTTTGCGGTCCGCTTCCTCTACTCACCCTTTGCAAAGCAACTTTGGGTTAACATCCTGCTTCCTTTGCATTATTAATGACAACTTTTTTGCGCTGAACAAAACTTCCATATTTTTCTAGTTTGATATGTAGTTTTTTTGCCTAGCTTGCATTTTGATGACCGCATCCTGATCTTTCCAACATTTCTCTAGGATCCGTCTCTCTGCCGGCTACGGGCTCTTGCAGACAGCATTGATTTGTCAATGAATCAAAACCTGTGCAAGCTTCTCATACCGACAGCTAACGACTATTACAGCTGGCATTTAACTTCTTTGATCAAATTATGCTTGATCATTTAGTCAATATACTCTTCGGTAAATACACTCTTGAGTACAGAGAGCAGTGCAGAGATGGAAGCATATTGAAGGCGTTAATATTTCTCTGTGACATAAGTGTGTATTGGTGTTCTGGCTCAGGATATGAGTATTTTGCAGACACTGGGGTAGATATATATTTATTCCTATTTTTGTTTTCATCAGAATTGGAGATGTGTCCTTGTTACATCCATGGATACAGGAGGGGACATGACTGTGTTTAGCAGACATGCATAAAGTAAAGTAAACATTATCAATACACAGATTTTGATAAAATGTCAATTGTTTGTCTTTTCGAAAGCTGTTGCTGAGAATGTTTCCGGAAATTGCCTTCAACTCTTTTACATTGCAGCTCTTTTATTGCTCAGGAAATGTATTGCAAAAATGATCTCCCATAACATTAGAAAGCCTACACCAAATAAGATTAGACTAGCTCAAATAACAATGTATGATGTGACAAAAAAGTATATGCAAAAGATTACATATTTACTAATAAAAGGAATAAGCATGTAGTGGTCCCATTTGTTCAGAAAATTTAACTTTTACAGGACTGAAGTTAGTAACCCCAGTTTTAAATACATAATAATGGCCTGCTGTTGTCATAGATTACATTCATACAGCACACCAAAGTACACACTATATAAAACTTTGTTGGCTGCTCTCAGTGATCCCCTCTGTCCTACTGTGTCGCTTTTGTCAGCGTAGCTCATCTTAGAAAATGCTAAGTCCTCCGGTTGTATGCAGGGCAGTGGGGACGTGCCCTTGGCTAATATGCTAACATGCTAATGCCTTATTTGCGTGCCCGTACCACGGATGGCAGGAATAAAAAAGAGTCCCCTATATACACGCCGCTCTGCTCTGCATACTAACAACGAGCTCAACCAGTGGGGACCGTCGCAGCTTGTGCGTCATTAGCATAACGTCAACGGATTACCAAGATCTCTTCAAATCCCTTAATTGTAATAATATTCCAAATTCAACAAAGACCCTACCCCTTGGTATCAACTTGTCCCTTTGATAGCATTTAGGATTTGGGGATTCACTAGGACAACCCATGTTGAAGGAAGCACATTCTGTCCGCGCGCAAATGCCCCACCACTTTGAGGGGTTAATTAAAAGTAAATTAAAAGTCATTAGGCTCTGAAAACACCTGCTTTTTCCATGTGACAGCAAAAAGGGGGGAAGCCATTAATGTGCTAATACTAAATCCCTCTCTTCCATTTTATTTGTGCATTTTCTTTCTAGTCAGCAACACAATGCAAGGAGGATTCGCGCATTATTATCCTCAGTCAATATTGACCACCGCACGGCATCGCAGTTAATTGGAAAAGTAAAACCTGCGAAGACTGCCCTGACTAAGCAGAAGGTGCGAAAGGATAATGGAGTTGACAGCAATAAGAGAAAATAATATGGTCGGCGAGAAAACATGGCTGGAATAACACAATTAAGAAAAAGGGCGGCTCAAGTGCCAAAAAATGGACGCCTTGGTCTAGGATTAACAGGACACAAACTCATTGCTCAAGCTCTCGTCTGTAAGATTGCAGGAAATTGGTGAGAGCTGCAGTAGAAGTTGTATCAGAAAATTGCAAATTCTCTCATAAACAATTTCAAAGAGAGTTTGAACTATATCCAAGACAGGCAAACTTTTTAATCAATGCTGGACTGGCAACTTGCATCAAAAAACGCAACCCCCTAACGGTCATCTACAGACTTTGGTTTTTTGATTTGGCATAGTATTATAAAGGTGTTACACTAATTTCATCACTTCTAAAATGGAAGCAGTGGAAAATGATTAAAGGTCAAATACTGTGCAAGCTTTCAACAAATTATGCTTCAACAGATTTCTCCTCTCATTTGCTACCTGCTAAGAGCGGTTCATGTATCTTTGATTATCCTTTAAATTGCCATCAAGACGACAATCCATGATCTTGTTCATACTGACTTGTGTGTCTACCATATATTTAGCTTGGTCCAATTTAATTTCATGAGCAAATCAAATGTAAACCCTGGCGCTCTGATTGACGTCTGGAAAACCTCAAACCGTTTGATGTAACTGGATCATACCCTTTCTACTGTGTTTGCACTGCATGTAACCACATAAACCAGATACTACTGGCCTTGTCTCAGAAGTATTTGTTTCATGTAAATTGTAGTAATTATAGTTTTGTGTACAATGTTGAGTACTAATGAGTAATAAGCCAAAGTTACAAGATGCCTTTGAAAGAACCCTCTGCTCAAATGGATAAAGTGCCTTGCATGTAGTTGGGGAACAAAATGGTCAGGCAGGTTTGGAAGCAATGCAGAGTCTGATATTTTTTGTGTACTGAGTATTCTTATGCTATGTAAACACTACACATGCATTGTGGCACTAATGAAAACAAAAGATCTAAGTTGTGCTGCAGCCATTTTCAATTCGAAGGTCTGTCATTAAATCGTTTTCCTACCGAAAAGTCTGATTTCAAATGGGCCAGTGTGCGCTTGTTCTGTGCAAACATTTGATTTGATGGCGCATTAACATCTCCACAAACAATGCTGCCGTGAATGCTCAAAGTGCTTCCACTGTTCCTTAAAATTACTTTCTCGAAGCAGGCTATGTATAGGTTTTTGAGGCATTCACAAGTGCCCGTAAAGGCCGTATAGCATGCGCACTGAAGCGGCCTCATTACAGTGCGGGGAAAATAGGAGAATGTGCCAATACTATTGATAATTCAGGGAGACTAAGCTTTTTCAGAGAGGAGGGCCGGGCCAGAGGAAATAGTTTGTGCTGCTCTTTGAAGTGCAGTCAAGAGTGAGACAAGCCAAAAGAGCCCCGCGCCAGATGGAAGGTGTCTCAAGCCTTTCAATTTGCTTTGCTTCTAAAACCTTCAATAGAAGCTATTAGTGTCACGCAGACGAACATTCGACTACATTTATTTTATTTCCCCCTCAGCGTAAAAAGAAATGGCAGCTAAAGGAAAGGAAGGGGAAAAGGAAAAAGCTCGTTGACACTTTGGATTAAGAAACTCACATTCAATCGCTAAATGACTAGTTTTTATGGTAATAAGTGGTCTTTACACTATTAAAAAGTGTACTTGTTACCATTGTTATTTCATCTATTGCCAATAATGCAAATAGATACTACTATTATCAATGGGGAGTAAAGATTCAAAGTCCAAGAAAAAATCTGAGCATAATGAGAATTAACTTAATAATTTGTGTAGTTAATAGTATAAAGATGTGAAATAATTAAGCTGAAAGTGCCAAGTCTGGTATTTACCTTTGTTTCAGCCCTCATTACAAAGGCTGTTACTAATTCCCTTTCCCCTTTGCCTGGTAACTCAAATGTTACCAGGCATGGAGTTATATTATAGTAATGTGTTTAAAAATGAACCAGATGTGGTGTTACAGCTGCAAATGTGGATTTCCAAGCACATGCTGTGTTCTTCACTATCTGGATCTATGATTATGTAAACGTGAACAACTTTTTAGAGAGAAGAAAGCCTGTTTTCATACCTTACGAGCACATAAAGAGTTCATGAACTCGCAAAGATCTGAGACATCTGACAGTTTTTGCGTGACGACAAGTTCAAACATTAAAAGTACCGGAATTAACTTTATTTGTATGTAAAGGCCTAACGGGAATCAACCAAGTATTGTGAAATAATTAGGGTCTTATTTCCCCCAATTGGATGTAATTACTTGAAATCCATTTTTAAAAATTCCCTTTACATTACTTTTAAATACCATTTCTTGATTCAAAGTACCCAGCCTAAAAATTGTTCTAACCTAAATTGTGCAAAAACGAATGATAATTTGTTCAATCTGCAAATATTGTTTTTTGACAAATAACAAATTGCAAAAATCTATACGTATTTTATTCAATTCAACCAATTTTTTACTTAATTTTATGTGCCACACTCCAAAATGCAAAACAAAGAGTTGTTGATGGCTGGGGACTCACCATGGGCTTCTTGACGCGTCCCTCCTGGAAAGAGCAGGTGGTGGGGTCGTGGGTGCAGCCGTGTCTGTACTTACACCAGTGACACTCGTATGGACTGCTCACACAGGACAGGCATCTGCAACACGACACACACACACACACACACGTACAATGAGTAACTGAGAACACAGACTACGGCTATTTAAAACCAATGCATAAAATACTATAGGGTATTGCAATCCATTCAATTTCACAATTTATTTTTTTTTTGTTTTTTTTTTATTTAAACAAAACAACATGAACATACATACATGGGGGGGGAAGGGGGGGGGTCTTCCATGTTTGTGCGTGTGTGTGTGTGTGTGTGTGTGTGTCTGTGTGTTACTTATTATTTACTTTATATTTTTATAATAGAAAAAACAAAAAAAAACAAAAAAACAAAAACAAAGACAATTAAAATATATATATATATATATATATATACAAAACCTCTTTTTTTTTTTTTTTTTTTTTTTTTTATAACAGCAATAGCGACAATGGCGATGATGAAGATAATAATTATGACCATACTAGCGTCCTTAACAGTAGCATTATTACTGGCACTCTTCCGACAGCTTTCCTCAATAGTTTGTCTGTGATTGTGTGGTGTATTAAAAAGAAAAATATCTGCGTGAGGTGTTGTGCATTAAAAAGGCATGTGCCTGGGATGCTTGTGGGAGGAGTCCATATATTTATCATACAATGTGTATTAATTAAATTAAACAATATTACTTATTATTGTTGCTTCCTCACCATCACCGTTCCCCATTGCTTATTCTACATATTCAAATATGATATATCTTGTATGTGTAAATACTAATTATATAATTTATAATATTAATAGTTAAGCAGAAACTATACGAACAAAAATAATAATAATAATAATAATAATAATAATAAAAATAATAATAAAAATAAAAAACAATAAAAATAATAACACAAGTGAGCAAAAATAAAGAGAGAAAAAAATAAGATAAATCCACAATAATAATCATTATAACAATAATATATAATAATAATATGAAAACTAAATTAACATTAAAATAAAAATAGAAAATAAAAAATAAAAGTAATAATAATAATCATAACAATTCAAATTATCGTAACAATAATAATAACAGTGACAATGCAATTAGTTAATTTGTAAGATAAAGTATGAGTTTGTTCCAGTTGCTGGGTGTTTCAGTAATTCTGTGATTGGTGGATGTTTGTTCAAAGGATAAGTGTTCTAGGAGGAGATCTTTCCACTGTGAAGTGTTGACTTTGATTTTTTTTTATTGTATTGTTTTTTTTGCAATTGTTAGTGCTATCAGGGTAAGTTGTTGGTCTGCTGGGTCTAAGGTTAGAGTGGATGTGTCGCCGAGTAGACAGTGTAAAGGGCTGTGGGGGATGCAGTGGTCCATAATGGTTGAGAGGGTTTCTGTCACTTCTTTCCAGAATTGAAGAACAGGGGGGCAGAGCCAAAAAGCATGTATGTGCGTGTCAGTTGAGTTTTGTGTGCAGTTGGTGCATTTGTCTGTACATGAGCTGAATTTTGACATTTTCTGTCCGGTGAGATGTGTTCTGTGTAATATTTTGTACTGTATCAGGTGAAGGTTTGCGTTGTCAGACATGTTGTAGATGTTGTTACATATTTGGGTCCAGAAGCTGGCATCAGGGGCAATTCCAAGGTCTTTTTCCCATTTTTCTGTTGGTAAGGTGATTGTATAATTTGAATGGATGATGATTCTGTAGATGTTGGCAGTTATTTTTTTTGGGGTCTTGATATTTAGTAATCTTGTAATTGGTGGGGGGAGAGTGAGATCTATATTTTTTGTGTCATATGATTTTTGGATGATTGATTTTAATTGATGGTACTCGAGATATTGTGTGTCCCTGATGCCAAACTTCTGGACCAGGTGCGAGAATGAAACCAGTGTGTTGTCATGAAAAATGTGTTGTAGGTGTGTGATGCCTGCCTCTGCCCATGTACGAAAATGTAATGGTTTCTTGAACTGTAGGAGGTCTAGGTTGTTCCAGATGGGGGTGAAGATGGATGGTGTGGGAGTGGTGTTAGTGATTTTATAAAATTTCCACAATCCACAATTTATAAAGACAAATTTGATAAGCCGGGACCTGGGAGAGGAGGGGGACATGGAGTCCGAGTGGACCATGTTCTCTGCCTCAATCGCCGATGCGGCGGCTCATAGCTGTGGTCGCAAGGTCTCTGGTGCTGGTCCCGGCGGCAACCCCCGAACCCGGTGGTGGACACCGGCAGTAAGGGATGCTGTCAGGCTGAAGAAGGAGTCCTATCGAGCCATGATGGTTCGGGGGACTCCTGAGGCAGCTGTCCAGTACCGGCAGGCCAAGCGTGCCGCGGCCCGGGCTGTTGCAGAGGCAAAAACCCGGGACTGGGAGGAGTTCGGAGAGTCCATGGAGCATGACTATCGGTCGGCCTCAAAGAAATTCTGGCAAACCGTCCGGCGCCTCAGGAGGGGGAAGCAGTTCTTCGCCAACACCATGTACGGTGCGTGTGGAGAGCTGCTGACCTCGACTGGGGATATTGTCGGGCGGTGGAAGGAATACTTTGAGGTTCTCCTCAATCCCCCCGTCACGTCCTCTGTTTCAGAGGCAGAGGCTGAGGATGTTGGGGCGGATACATCCATCTCCCTGGCTGAGGTCACCAAGGTGGTTGGTAGCCTCCATGGTGGCAAGGCTCCGGGTGTGGATGAGATCCGCCCTGATTATCTAAAGTCTCTGGATGTTGTAGGACTGTCTTGGCTGACACGTCTCTGCAACATCGCGTGGCGATCGGGGGCGGTGCCAATGGAGTGGCAGACCGGGGTGGTGGTCCCTCTCTACAAGAAGGGGGACCGGAGGGTGTGTTCCAATTATCGTGGGATCACACTCCTCAGCCTCCCCGGTAAGGTCTACTCCAAGGTACTGGAGAGGAGGCTACGGCCGATGGTCGAATCTCGGATCCAGGAGGAGCAGTGTGGTTTTCGTCCCGGTCGCGGAACACTGGACCAGCTCTATACTCTCCATCGGATACTCGAGGGTTCATGGGAGTTCGCCCAACCTGTCCACATGTGCTTTGTGGATTTGGAGAAGGCGTTCGACTGTGTTCCCCGGGGTGTCCTTTGGGGGGTTCTCCGGGAGTACGGGGTCGGGGGTCCTCTGCTGAGGGCCATCCGGTCCCTGTATGACCGGAGCCAGAGCTGTGTTCGCATTGCCGGCAGTAAGTCAGACCTGTTCCCGGTGAATGTTGGCCTCCGACAGGGCTGCCCTTTGTCACCGGTTCTGTTCACTGTATTTATGGACAGAATATCTAGGCGCAGCCAGGGGTCGGAGGGGGTCCGGTTCGGGGACCACAGGATTTCATCTCTGCTGTTTGCGGACGATGTTGTCCTGTTGGCTCCAACGAACCAGGACCTGCAGCATGGGACGGTTTGCAGCCGAGTGTGAAGCGGCTGGGATGAGAATCAGCACCTCCAAATCTGAGGCCATGGTGCTCGACCGGAAAAAGGTGCCCTGCCCTCTTCAGGTGGGTGGAGAGGTCCTTCCTCAAGTGGAGGAGTTCAAGTATCTCGGGGTCTTGTTCACGAGTGAGGGAAGAATGGAGCGTGAGATTGACAGGCGGATCGGTGCAGCGTGCGCAGTGATGCGGTCGCTGTATCGGACTGTTGTGGTAAAGAAGGAGCTGAGCCGAAAGGCAAAGCTCTCGATTTACCGGTCAATCTTCGTTCCCTCCCTCACCTATGGTCATGAGCTTTGGGTAATGACCGAAAGAACGAGATCGCGGATACAAGCGGTCGAAATGAGCTTCCTCCGCAGAGTGGCTGGGCGCTCCCTTAGAGATAGGGTGAGGAGCTCAGTCACACGGGAGGAGCTCGGAGTAGAGCCGCTGCTTCTCCACGTCGAGAGGAACCAGTTGAGGTGGCTCGGGCATCTGTTCCGGATGCCTCCTGGACGCCTCCCTGGGGAGGTGTTCCGGGCACGTCCCACCGGGAGGAGGCCCCGCGGAAGACCTAGGACACGCTGGAGGGACTATGTCTCTCAGCTGGCCTGGGAACGCCTTGGGGTCCCCCCGGACGAGCTGGAGGAAGTGTGTGTGGATAGGGAAGTCTGGGCGTCTCTGCTTAGACTGCTGCCCCCGCGACCCGGCAACGGATAAAGCGGAAGAAAATGGATGGAAATTTGATAAGAAAAATCTTACATCATGCATTCACAATCGTCACATAGATAGATGCACAAATGGTATCTTAATTTACAGATTTATTTTAGGCTAAACTGTCAGTAGATTTAGTACTGACTTGCCTGTCCAACAGAGTACATGCATTTTAATTTGTCAGCACTGGAAATGGATGCTGACAAGTAACCATATACATACTGTAAACCAATCCATTATGAACAGCTTTAATAAGACACGCTTGTATCAAATGCCAAGGCAATAATGCTCTGACCCTGTTCGGCCTGTTCGGACAGGTACCTACTGTATCTGTTCTATAACTGCTGACGGTAAATGTCAGAAAGTGTCTCTGAGAGCACCGCTTATTAGCACATGCTGAAACAAAGGACTTACGACGTGTGCACGCTGCAGTTGTAGAAAACAAAGCTGGTGTTTGCAAAGGCCAGCCCCGTCTCTTTGGACTTGAGGTAGAGCTGAACGATCTGGTGGTCTCCTGGGGACAAACATATACCAGAACAAATCAACACGCTTTTAAGGAAGGTTACTGAATGTACTTTTACACTGCACGACAGGAGAAGTCAAAAGAAGGAAGACATTGGATCCATTTATTTGTATATAACCAGGAAGAATTAATTCTTAAATAGTATAGTCATCTTCTACACGCATGTCATTGGCAGAGATTAACACAGAGTATCCCATGTAAACTGTCAACAAAGATTAAAGAGAACATGTGTAAACAACATTCATTGACATGGATATGTTTGGAAATGGATAATGACTTTCAGAAATGTTCTTGATTATAAACATATTTATAATATTTAAAATCATCTTTGGACATTGTAATATGAACACTTCCCACCGCAAACCCCAAACAGGTCTTATTTGCCAAACCATGAAGTTTTTTGTTTTTTTCATGCATGTGGCAAAGTTTAAGCAATCGGGCCGTCGTCAAACAAATGGAGCCTGTGTATGTTAGCCTTTGTCGCACATGTTGCTCTGTGCTGGGAAAAAATATATCGTAAATATGTACCGTATGTTATGAAGTTTATAATGTAATTGTTATTGTTGTTGTCATTGTCCTTATATTCAATCCTGAGTATTGAGCTGGGCAGCGATTAGCGGCAGGTGTTAAACTTGTGGCATTAGCAGAAGACTATAAAGAGACTTTTGAAGCATTAGAAGAATTAAGTGTCCTATCCTTGACATCTTCCTCATGACAATAAAACTGCAACAGTTCCCTGGAGATGAGAGATATCGCCCTGAAATCTTTGAAAAAAATAAGTATTTGAAAAGCATCTTTGACAAGGTAACAGCGGAAAGATGGAGCGGGCGCCTTGTCTGTATTTGCCGTCCTTTTGTCTAGTCTTTAACGAGACTCATGTATAATTCAACAGCCACGTGCCTAACTATTCCCATACTTTCCCTCTCTCTCTCTTCTTCTCACACCATGCAAGCAGCCAGACTTGTGCGGCCCTGAGAGACAGATTGTCTTAACCGTCTCTGCGGCCTGGTTTGATCAGATTCAAGATATTTTGAAAGTGAAAACTATTAAGTCAAGAATCCCTGACAAACTGTGGCAGTCATCCTCCTGATGTACATATATGAAGGGCATACAGCGTTGATCTAGTTGTCAAAAAGAGTTAAAGCTGGGTAATCAAACTCTCAAAGCAATTTGCATGTATGTTTTTTTCTTTTTTTTCAGTCACATCTTTAGATTAACTTTTCCACTTCTGTAGCAAATCAGTTCTGTTCTCAGTGAGCCCATTGTGTCAAATACTCACAGGGCTCTATCTTACAAGATTTAAACGATTTCTGAAAAGTTAAAGATAGCATGTTGTGATCTTATTTGTTCACTAAATGTTACGTTTACATGAATGTATTATTCATGAAAAAGCAAGGTAGCCAATCTTTCCATCATATTTTCCCCCATATATTACAATTCTGGAGGGTGGTCAACACATTATGTTTACAGAGAAAAAAAACAGCTTTAATTTCTTCTTGGTCCCAAACTGCCGTTCAACTTGCCCAATTGATTTGATCCAGAACAAAAACATTTGCTATGTGATTGATAAGAAAAGTCGACATCTTGCTTATAAACACACTTTTGATAACATCCCATTTGTGTTGCTGTAAGTTAGTAAGTAAGTAATCTTTATTAATGAACCGCTTTCACAGACCAGAGTCACATAGCGCTTTACAATGAGCTATATGCACGGGGAGGCGTGACGTCATTTCCTTTAAACAAAGAACAGCCCGTTCACTTCCTGTCTATGCTATCGCTATGGCATTGTGGTGAGTTGTAGTGACGTTTTTTAGTAATTAGATTGATACATTCAGCTGTGAGACTGACCCAAAAGTGTCCACGTGCTTTCTCTCTGAGGAATAGCTTTGACAGTGGCCTCTCAGAGAGATTAGTTAACTTTTTAAAAGCACAATGACAGCACAATCAAAAAGCACTGCTGTGTCCCAAAAATTCCCAGCATCCTTACAGTTTAATTCCTGTTTGAGCATTATTTAGGAAACTCGTGTAAACATCTACTGAACTTAAGTGAAACTCAAGCCGATCCCCGCTACCGGAAGTCAAGTGGTGCGTGCATAGAGCCCATTGTTGGGCATTTTGTCTCTCGCTCCACAAAGAGACTCTTCTTCTGGCCACCCTGGGAAAGCCATGTTCCAGCTTCTTCCCTCTGGCAGAAGATATCGCTCTCTGAGATGCAGGACATCTCGTTACGCTAACAGTTTTTATCCACAAGCTGTTATCAGTTTGAACAGAGCACTTTAATGATTTGCACTTGTTTTGAACTGTTTTAGTCGATCGATTTCACAGTGACTTTTGTTTACTGTTTTATTTGTTTTATTTTTGTCTTTTAATGTTGTTTTATGTCTGTATTTGTCTGTGGACACTGGAGACTTTTCGCTAATGTATTAAAATGTGGTTTTTTTTACTGCAAATGGCAAATAAACTGAATCTGAATCTGAATCTGAGATGAGGGCTGCCATACAGGAGGCATGCCAGACCATATGCCAGTGTCATGTTTTTTCAGTAGGGGAAACCGGAGAAACTGGAGGAAATACCTGTGCAGACACGAGGAGAACATGCTAACTCCACACGGGTAGGTGGAATCAAACCCAGGACCTTCTTACTGTGAAGCACTGGGCATGGCATGGCTCATTAGTTAATTGCTCTCCTCAACACAAATAAAAATGTTTTTTGATTTCATCTTAAGCTGGTGTTACCAAAACAATGACACAGGTTCCAGTCCTGTGCACTCCAGTCCATCAACTTCTCTGATTCCAGTACTGATCATTTTGTGTGGATATATGCAACAGACATCAAACTACAAATGATTCGAACCAACAAGTGCTTACATGCAAATTAGAACAGCCATTATAACGCTGTTTATCTGCTTTCTCTTTCACTATCTCAACTCCCACCTCTGTGTATTCTCTCAGCTTCCTTGTGTCGATGGAGCAAAGAACAAAATCCTGCATCAATCACCAGTGTGAAAAATGCCCTGACAACAAATCTGTCCTCATTAAAGCCACCTAAATGTTACCTTGAAGCCTGCAACCATCTCCATCCATCTATTCTTCCTTCCCTCTGCCTCTCTCTGTCCTCTCTGTCAGCGGACCACGTTCAGACTAATGAGTGTGGCTGTCAATACATCGGTCAGAATTTACAGAAACTTTACATAAGCTGATTAATAATGGCTTGTTTCTCTCTCAGGCAGAACACAATAATCTTCTTGTCCATTATGAATGACCATGGTTACTCCCAAAATGTGTGTCAGTCAAAAGTTATAAATATTCATTAGAAAAAACTTTTTGGATTTTGTTTCACTCCAATATCAGTCAAATACAGAAAGGGAGAAGTGGAGTTTGAAGTCATGAGCTGGACATGATGCTTGGACTATTGTAAACAAGTAACAGCCTGCTTACTTGTTTTAGCCAAAAGGGTCATTTGCAAAGTGTCCAGACCTCTGCCCCAAGGCTTTTAACCCACAGGAGAGCAGATACTACCCCTGTGCTAAACTCTTTACATTGGCTTCCCGACATGCACAGTCACATTTCAAATCCTGATGCTGGCGTTCAGGACTGTTCATGGTCTGGGTCTGAGCCTCCATCTCTGCTGCTGCTTTTTAGAATTGTCCATTTTATTTTGTATTTTTGTTGCTAATGGACACCTGAATTTCTCCTACGGGGATCAATAAAGCATCCATCCATCCATCCATCCATCCATCCATCCATCCATCCATCCATCTAGGGCGACAGTAGCTCAGTTGGTAGAGCATTGGGCTTTGAGCCAGAAGGTCGTGGGTTCGAGCCCGACTTTCACCATCGTCTCCCACTGTCTGCTGTCGATGTGTCCTTGGCAAGACACTTAACCTCTGGGAACACCAGGTGCCACAGTGGGGCGGCTGCGGCTGTAAAGTGCCAAACTGCCGTTGTGTCCTTGGGCAAGACGCTTCACCCCCATTGCCTAGAATGAGTTTGGTGTGTGTGAATGGTTGTTGGTGGTTGGAGGGGCCTATGGCACATACTGGTTGCCTCGCTTCTGTCAGTGTGCCCCAGGGCAGCTGTGCCCACAGTAGTAGTCTATCACCACCATGTATGGAGTGAAAGAATAATGACATGTAAAGCGTCTTTGAGTGTTCAAAAAAGTGCTATATAAAACCAATGCATTATTATTATTATTATTATGTATCTAACCCTAAAACTCGAGCAGACAAATGGTTCAAGGCTGTTGCTCCTGGCCATTTGAAAGACCTCCACCTGTCCCTGGGCACGATGGACTCATCGGTTACTTAAAACACAACAACTTGTTTGGGTGAGCTTTCACGCCTCACCTACAAAGGCCTCCATGAATTGGAGACCTACTTTGTAACATCTGTATATGACTTGTATGTCTACTGTTTTTTTCCCTGGGTTTTTAATGCAAAGCGCTTTGTGACCTTGCTCTTACTTAGTATTAATGTGAAATATGTATGCATTCAAATTAGGTGGTAAATGTTCAGATCTACAATTGTAGATAATATATGAGTGAGTGGTAAGGGGCTATAGAGACTTTATAATATATCTTCATTTGTTATAATTTGTATGAAAAGGCTTATTGAAAATGATACAAAAAGTAAACCATAATCATCAACATTATAACAAAGAAAAGGCTTGACATGGGACACTTTGCATGTATATATATCATACAATGGTTTGAAGTTAAATTATTGAAAAAAATACGTTATAATATTCCAAGGGTCAAATTTGAATAGTTGTCTTGTAAATATCCAGTCATAGTTTTGAGCTCATAGTTGAAGCTTGAGGGACAAATACGGCGTTCAGCTAAGAACAAATGTATTGTTTTCAAATATGATTCACCACTTTTGCATGAACAGACAACACTCGGAGCCGTTATGTCACCTCCCGGCACTCAAACCAATACAAACAACTCTTACTAGTACACTTTGTTTTCCTGCCTTTTGAACTGTGCTTAAACAAGGTCCCTGGATCCCGCCTGAAGCTGATCCACTTTTCCGCAGGTTGGAGGGTGCGTCCCTAAGCGCAGTCATAAGTATGTGCATGGGCCCCGTAAATGTGTCTCGGGGCGGTGCTGCGAGCCCCGGCAAACGCTTGATGAGAAGAAGAGACACCAAAAGATCTGCAGAATGAAGGGCTGAGCTAATGCTAATGAGCTAATGCTAATGAGCTAATGCTAATGAGCTAATGCTAATGAGGAGCGCTTTCAGAGATATAAAGGCGCTAAGAAAGTGTTGTGACAGTGCATTTGGTATATTTTGATAGTAACATAGTAACACCAAAGGTTTACCGGATTTCTGAGATGAATTTAAGGGATTTAAATTGATCCAAACAATTTTATCTGAATTCGCTACAAAGGACTGAATCATTGTTTGGTAGCATTGTGTTTCTCCGTACAATAAAATGCTCAAAAACTAAATTAAGAACGGTGTATAACTAAGTTCAGGCTCCTGTAAAATATTTTCTCTACTTTCTATATTCACAATCTATAACACTATTTCAGCAATTCGAGCAGGTACCTCTAAAACTCTATGAGAAAGAAGCAATTATTAAAATAAATCATCCCAGATCATTATTTGGTAATTAGTTTGTTAGATTCACAAACCTGTCATTATATGGTGTATGTGTGTTGGCCCAGGAATTACAGAGAAATGAGCTATACTGTATACCAAGACTTAAAGTATTCAATGTTCAAGCTGCCCTCCACCTCAACGTTAAATGATATGCTCTTTTGGGCATATAGTTTCACATGTGTTTTACTTATATTTAACACATGGGTTATGTTTTAATCCTACTACAGCAATTGGACTCCAAAGACCAGTGTTGGAGAGAATACTTTGAAAATGTATTTATTTACAGAATTCTGAAAACCTGCTGTAAAAATGATTTTCAACGTATAGTTACTCAATTACAGCATTCTAGATACACGTAATCTGCTTTTGTCTTCAAACCTCCTTTTATTCACAATCTGTAATCACAGAGGGAACCTGATTTCCATTTCTTTTTCAGCAGAATTGTATTTGGATACTGCCTTTCCATGATACAGCAAGTAAGCATTTTTTTTATATAGCACATTTTTACCGAGCAAGGTCACCCAAAGCTCTTTACAGTGGCTAAACAAAAGAACTGAATCATCTCTGTGGAAGGCTTAATAACTATGTGGTAGACGTGGCTTGCTTCAATACATTTTATATCGATCTCAAAAAGTACAAGAATTGCTGATGCGCTGGAAGTTGGATAGTCTGAAAATGTTTTAAAAGGAAAGCATTAGGACGAAGTGGAGAGATTTTCCAATACTCTTTATTGGTTCTCTAGTGTTTTAGAATCATAAACAGGTTGGTGCAGATGTAAAAAAGTAAGAAAAAGTGTGATTATTACCTTTACCTTTGTCCACTATGATCCGAGGCATCTCTCTCTTGGCCGGAGAAGAACAGCGGATCTGGTTCCCTTCCACGAGCCCGTTCATTTCACTCAGGTCCTCAAAGGTGCAGTTCACTCCAGCCGAAAGGTCCGGAACGTTGTGGGCCTCCAAAACCAACTGTTGAAAACACATGCTAATTAATATGCATGGATCATTTACTAAACAAACATCTTGCATTATAGTCGCGCTCAATGACAGATGCTAAGATTGACTGAATGTTTTTTTACAGTGAAAGGCATGGCCCTACTCTACTCTACCCTGAGTCAAAGTGTTTCCAACGGCCCTGTTTAACCGATACCAGGTACTTTTTCAGTACCCGTCATCAATACATGGTGAAACAAGTATCAATGATAGATAATGCAAACCCTTTCCCTATGCCACCACCCGAGGCAGGTGTAAAATCTTGAAAAATAGCAGACTGCAACCACAGCTAGGTGATTACGTCAAACATAATTGCACTTTAGAAATTGCCCAAAACTAATTTATGAGCAATATATTTTGTTTTAAAATGTGTAAAACAGCTTTCAGTTTAACGTCATAGTGGTACAGAGACATCTTACTATTCCAAAACTGAGACAAAAGCTTTAAGGGAGGGGCGAGATACATAATGTGTTTGTACCAGCAGTTACTGATATTAGCATGGATGGGTTTGATGAGGGGACATTGGTATATCATGATTAAACGCTCAAAAATATAGATGTTATAGGATATGTCTCCTTTTACCCAAATGATTAAATCCTGCTTCAATGCCTCCCACAAAACTACTGTGATCTGCAGGTTTATGAAGTGATCAAAGGAATAACACTGTTGAGTCCAGGATATGCGCAGTGGTCTCTATCAAAAGGCTGTGTCCACATTTGTGTGACTTTGAACTGAACGTGGAAAGTTAGCATTTCTTTCAAGTACAGCTGCAGTGCGGTGTGGCCGGGACTCCCATCTGCTGCTTCTGCGCTGTGAGGGAGCGAGAGCCATCTGGACAGTGGTCAGCGGCCAAAGCACGGCCCTGGGACCTATGCATCAGCGCAGCCATAGCCTCACATTCCCCCTTTATGAGATTAAAACATCTTCGCTCAATACAGATGGACACTAAGCTCAAGTAGTGACAATTTTATAGGCCATCTTAACTGGTTCTACTGCCATCAGTTTGGTCGATGGCTATTTTATTGTGTTCATATTCAGTGGACTGCATTGGACACTTGCAAGACGAGAAAAGATAGTGATTCAAGCCTCTTTGAAAAAGTGGAGAAGTATCTAAATCAGAGTGTTAAAGGAGCTCAAAGAGGTGGTGTGGCTGCAGGTTTTAGATCCAACCTTTCGCAGGTGGGTCCATTTTTAACTTGAAGACGTGAGGAAATTAGCAGAGTCTGGTGTGCTCCTGCTCAGGCTGGCACTACAACCTAAAGCCACACCCGCCCTTTCTGGATCCGGTTTGACACTCCTGATGGTAATAGATGTACCGAGAATCTATGTTCAGAATAGAAATTGCTTCAATTGTGTAATGTATTTTTAATCTACAAACTCTAGAACATGAACATGCAAACTCCACTCAAATAGACCCTGTGCAAACTGAGATTCAAACCCAGGACCTCCTTACTGAGAAGTGAGAAGCCCTGAGCAGTCTGAGTAGTGCAATCATATCCAATAAGTGACCAAAATAACCCTATTAGAATTAGTGAATTACATCTCATGTTGAACAATTTTGAAATAACTGTTTTGGTTATTATAGTCCATAATAAAGGTATCTAAAGTCCCTATTTTCACATTCGTCCTCTCTTACAGCGGGGCCTGACATTCAGATGAGAAACAGAAAATGTTGTGATGCTCTAGAAAGTCCTGACCTGTGCTGTTTTTATATAGCTGTTTAATGAAAAGACGGCGCCGCGTGTGTGAGCACAAATAATCTTCTGAGTGAGTTTATGGAGTCCACCGGGCCCTCGTCGCTCACCTTTATATTCTGTCACTGATTTTATTTTCTGCTTAAGCTGGAAATATGGACAGACCTTGAGCCACTTCAATAACACCGCAGGCAGTTAGAGGCTTTCTGTGAAAATCGTTCAGCGGGAAATATGTTGCATAAACAGTGTCGCAGGTGGAAGAAAGACAATAAACTGTTTTGTTATTAGACAATAGATTTTATTCTGTCTATGACCGCTGATAGGATATTATGAGATCAAGTCAAAGTTGTGCCACTTCAAAATGTTACTTCTCAAGCAAAGCAGAGGGCAAGGATTAAACCTCACTGGGTAGCTTGCATTCATGTGGTAGAATGTTGGAGGGCATGGGCCAAAACAGCTCTATTGCAAAGAAATGTTGAAAAATATCTCTTCCTACTTAATCTGTGATCTGGACTTCCGCAGTAGTCTGCACCTGTGAACTTTCTTCCCCGTCCCAGGCTCATGCTGCACCCGCTCCCCGCCCGAGGGCTGCCTCAAAACAGCATTGCGTGGCCTCTGTCCTTTTTCTACAGCCTGAATCCTGGATCTATAGCCCGTCCGTCCGTCATGTGAATCTCTCTGAGGTTTCTCATTTTTCTCTGGGTTTTTAGAGTTTTTCTTGCCAATGCAGGAAGGTCCAAGGACAATGGTGACAATCCAGGACTCTCAACATTCAACAAACTGTATGAATGTATCAATATACAGTATATGGATATTTGTAATCAGCCCCTTATAGACCAATGGCACTGTATCAATGCATTTCTTGTGTTCGAACTGTCCGATTCTCTGATCTGTGTTGGTAAATTCGACGGTTTTGTAAAATTCTCCGAGAATACTAGGCAAGACAATGCACAAGACAATTCAAAGTGCAGAAAAAAAGTGCGGATGTGTGATCATTATTTGTTAGTGATTCACAAAGCTGCCATGTTATTCCTATGTCTAAAAGTTCTTTCCACTGGCAATCTTCAGGCATACGTTTTTTGAGTAAATGAGGTGAATAAAGTAAATAGTTGATATGCACTGACAGATGTGGAACTTTGTGACAGTTTTAGTTTCACGTGGATTGACCCAAGACTAGAAATGTGACTTTTGAAAGCTACCATTTGTACCAGGAAAAATTTGTCAGCAAAATGTTTAACTATTAACTGCAGGCGCTCTTTGGACTGATGCGATGTCTCATGAACTACGCCTGAAAACAAAGCACAGAGAAACAAAATGTATTTCATTCAAACAACTCTAAAAATAACTGAGTCTGGCGGGATTTCAGGAAAACAACAAGACTATCATGATTAGAATTTGTAAAAGTCGCACAACTCATTACTTTGCAAAGCTTAACTCCATTGCCTTCGGACAAAGTAGAAAGGATTACAAATACATGTTTCCAATCACAACACAAAATGTAACTGGAGAGGATTTGATTTCAGCCTTCAAGTGTTTTTCTCAAAAACACTATTAAATAACCCAGAGGTCAAGCGATGCGTATCTGCCCGCCCACCCGCTTCTGGCCCACTGCGGCAATCATCCGGTCAGAGTGGACAAGTGGGAGCCCTGGGTAAGCGAGAAAAGGTTAAACGCATACACAAAACTAGGGAAGTGCGCACCTGCCATCTCTTCATGAATATTATTATAGTGAGATGTAGCACAAATCAACTACACGCCTCCCTGACCTTCCAAAAAAAAAAAAAAAAAAAAACGAAAGAAAGAAAAAAACATGCTAGAAGAATAGGCACTCAGGCTTGAACTCTGCAAAAGCAGTTTTGAAATTCATGTTCCTTGGCGATCCAGTTCTGACCAGTCTTTAATGGAAAAATGACAAGTGAAATGTGAGAGCTTAAGTGGTCAAGGGCAGAAGGGGCGGAGATATTGTGGTGGATTTGGAATGACTGCGAGGAAAGTGGAATTCTCGGGGTGGAGGAAAATTAAGAGTATGGGTCGATTGGGATGTCAAAAAATGACCACGGTGTATTTTAAAAACTAGCAGTTTGATGAATAGGGCAGAAACATGTGATTTGCAACGATTAAAAAAAAACATGCAGCGTGAACATGTTTTTTCTAACATTTGCCGTTTGTGGCACAGTAATATTGCACTTTATTACTATTGTTAGTAACTTTTAGAATGATGTATTTATTAGTTTGTGGATGGATGTGTTTCTGCTGCTGGACACATGGAGCTTCGCGAAGGTTCACTCTGGAAGACTGACTGCTAAAGCCTATCCCCTCCAGGCCTGCCACACATCCTCGGCCTATTGCACAGCAAACGCCCATTTCCAGGGGGCCTAGGACGCCAAACTACCTATCAATAAAACATTCAAACTGCATTTTGTCTTCTGAGTCTCTCCAGATTGAACTGAATTTCTCCTATAGGAATCAATAAAGTATCAATCAATCAATCAACATCAGAGTGTATTCTTTTACATATATGTAAACAGTGTGCGTTCATTTTGTTTGAAATGGATGTGATTCTGTCTGCCATAAAAAAGCTTATACATAGTACATAAAAAATCGTGCTTGTACATTATATACACATTTACAAAACAAACATTAAACATGTCACATACACAGACTACACAACATCGCAGATAACTTTCTCTGCAATGTGAGTTGGTGTAGTGCAGGGGTGCTCACACTTTTTCAGCATGCGAGCTACTTATAAAAGGATCAAGTCAAAATGATCTACCTACTACAAAAATGCAAATCATATATTTCAAAAAATCTACAATGTATGTTTATGTACATGCAAAACCGCATGAGCCAATATAGCGCAACACAACACAATTACCTATGAACATTTTTTGTCATTACCCGAGTTTACTCTTATGACTTGCACTGAATTGAATCGGCCAGGGATGCATAGTCCGGAAAATTGGTGGTAACTCGCTGACAAGTTTGTCGTGGTTTAGCTTTCCTGCACTGAGCGCGGTTGTTTGCGCATGTGCAGTCACCTAAGTGTCAGTAAAACATTACTGAGTAAAACACAGATGTCATTTGACTGTGGTGCCATGTCCATGTGCCATGCCTGTTTTTTTTAAATCCAAATATTTCCCCTCCTCCGTTTATAAAATAATTTGCATCCACACATCTGCGTTATCAATCACATTCGTAACATTCCAAACATGTGCGTCTCTTACGTCCTGTCCTGCGTTGGGGAAAAACACAGAAGTGGGCGGAGCTTTGATGCAGACGCCGGTAACGGCACTTTTACAGTCATAGAAGACACTCAGAGTAAAGAGTAAAGCCTGGTTCACACGGCAGGATATTTAGGCCGATTTAGACCCGATTTACCCCTTACGACAATCTTAAGAAACGCTCCGATTTCCGTAACAAATTCTTACAGATTATCCTGCCGTGTGTGGTGTGTTAAGACTGCACTCGTCGCTCGGAAGGACATCGGGACTGCTCCCGATCTCAAATCGGGGATATCCAACATGTTGGATTGTTTTGGCCCGATTTCTTGTCATGTGTGGTGTCCTCCGAGGACAAGCGAGGGCGTTGCCATGACTACGGCGTGTAGCCAATAAGAAGACGAGGTGACAAGCCGGTGAGGAAACACCGGAAAAAAACCAAAACACAGCAGCATGGCTTTGACCATTGCCTTTTCTTTGGATTACGTGTCTTCTCTGTTAACAACAAACTGCACACTATCGCCACTGCATCCTCTTCGTCCGCCATGACTGTTTACTCTGAAGTCACGCTTGATCTCGAGAGATTTTGTGAGATTTCCGTCTGACCTGGGAATGCTCGGGGGGGGGGTGTCGGTTCGTGTGTGATGTTTGTGGCTTGCGTGATCTTGCCGTGTGGCTACGCACCACACACTGCACAACCAAAGTGGTTAGACGCAGGATTTTTAATCTCCCCGTGTGGGGTCTTACACGGAGAAAAATCGGCCGACAATTTTAAAATTGTCTCGTGTGAACCAGGCTTAAGACGTATGTTTACAAGCACTGACCCCGTCCTCAGCCCTGGTTTAGTCCTGGTTTAGTCCTGGTTTGGTTGTTTTCGAGCGTGAGTCCCCGCGATCACTTTGCTGCTCTCTGATGTGGAGTGAGGATGTTCGCTGCTGCGAGCATCTCACAGCGAACAGTTTTTAAGGTAGTATGATCCATGCTTCAGTGATCAGAGGAATTTAGGGGGGTACTGTGGCGTGCGAGAACGCAAAACTCCGGTTATCTCTGTCTACACACAAATGCATAACGTATTGAGCACCCCTGGTGTAGTGCATGTAGTTATATTCACTTTGGAGCCATATGACCAATTATACAGGTGCTGTGCCACTGTTGACATGCCATGAGTTCTAATACATTATGCATGTCTTTTCATATATCGAAACCTCTTCCAAAATGGTCAAATCACTCCTAGCACTTACTAGCATAATTATGACGTGTTGTGTTTAGTTTCTATTGTAGCTAGAAGAGTCTATAGCCTATTCTCACTCTAATAATGTTATATTCAAATGATAATGACTGCTGAATAAGGAATGTTATTCAGGCATGAAAGACGCTCTCCCGTGCCAATAGGCCATACATTCAAGTGTTGACGCTGAATAATGCACATCATTAGAACATTTTCCGCTAACATTGCAGCAAACAGCTGGGCAGACATCACTTGTAATCCGCAGAGGATTGTTGACATTGGTTGAAAAGCGGAGGTCGGCGATTGAACAGTGCGTTTGGCTGGCAGCGGAATGATGTAACCACACAATTAGTCATTTACATAGCGGCAGACATAAAACACAACAGAGTGTGCAGCTGTCCGGATGCCAACATTTGGATTTTTAGCCACAATCAGTGGAAGTTATGGTTCAAAATATAGAGAGATATTAGAGTAGTTCTCACACCTAAAAGTTAAGGCCTTTGGAGTAGCTCTGTGTATAATCTGTGTTTAATACAAATAAACCTGCCTTGGGTTTTTAGTTGGAATTATGAGGTCACTGACGGTCAAGTAAATGATGAACATTTGACACACCCAGGAACAATAATCTCAAACTAATAATAAATGTGCTCAAATTGTTTTGGAGGGTCTTTGGAGCTATTTGAGATTTCATAACACTTTTAAGCAACTTTTGTTAAAGTTAAACTCATCATTCTATCAATGTGCAGAAGCCAGTACTTTTCCCTTGTTTTGTCTATCTGAAGGCCAAGCTACATGGCACCGTGGCAGCTGCTGATTGGAGGTCTCCGTGCCTCCGCTCTGTATAATACACTTGCATTCTGTTGTTTGTGTTTTCGTGCTGTCTCTACCATCGACAATAAAACATGTCTTCTGTCTGAATGAAAGACGCGATACCAGACTTTGTCATCTTCTTCAGCTAAACCAAGAGTCAAGGAACAGACGTTTCATACATTCAGACACGAGGGTCAGTGCTTGCCTTTTGAAATTCTCTCTCTCTCTCCATTCTTTTAAAAGTAATTGATATTTACTTTAAGGATTGAGTCGTCCCACTCTTGTGAGGGTTCAGTTTCAAAGAAGCAAAGACCTCTGATTCCCCAGCCTGGACTGTTGGACCAGAATCCCAGTCGCCCTTCCCAGGATGCCTTGTCTTGCAGGGTCAGACCACAGCCGTTAATTAATGTGAAAATTAGTTCATCTGCCCCATCTCATTTGACTGTCTGACAAAAACTAATGTTAAGTGATTGAAGAGTAACTCGTGCGTGATTTTGGGTTTTAAAAAAATACACTGACATTTTACCCAGATTCAGTGGAACAAGTGATATACAAAAAGTGATGAAAATGGAATGATGGAATGTTGTAAAAGTAGCTTTTGATATGAAAAGGAGAGGGTTGTCTGTCTCCGAGGAACAGGAAGTGCTTGGTGCAGGGGTAATGAGGCATAGTTGAGTGACTCACCGTGACACTGAACTGGGACACCGAGATGTTGCTGGGGTGGACGCTGAGCCGCACACACTGTTTGATGTCGGAGGCAAATCGGCGTGGCTCTGAAGATCGCTCACATTTCTCTTTCCGGGTGCACCTGCGGACAAAAAACACACACACATATAAGCTACTAGTAGACGCAAAGGCAGTACACGGTAACCCGAGGAGGGCTTATAATGCATGCACCTGTTGGCACATGGGAAAAGGCTTTCCAAGGACAATCCAGCCATTCCCGCGCATATCCATGTACAATGACTATTACAGCGGAGGGGGGACAGAACCCATGGTATATTTTTGTCGTAGTTTCAATCAAGTGGGACATTGTAGCTGTTCAGTTCAAACAATGATTACATTTCATCAATAAACAAACTTCCAGCCTAATCACAAAGACAATTTTCCCATCAAGAAACACACTTTTCTGTTAGTTCAAATATTCACAATGTTCATCAAAATTAAGTTTTTGTATATTACAATCTCTACCTCTTTGGCACCGGTCAATCGAAAAATTGACCAATATTGACCAATGATAATAGTTGATTATATATTCTCCAAAGAAATTATTTGTATTTCTTTTACATATGTGATTGTATTATGTGAAAATAAGGTTTGAACACTTACAAAATTAAAACAAATACAATAACAAACTATTGATTATATACTGTATTTCTGTCAGTGCACTAGCATCATGTATTTCCCTTGCGACCCCCAGAGGTAGTCTTATCAAGGCATCCTGCTATCTGGGGGCTGGTCTTTAAAACAATGGGTGCTCTATATGCAGAACCAGAGCCGGTCTTCTGGGACAGATGCACAGCCCTGGCTTTTTGTTGCGCTGTCTTAATGACTGGCATTCATGGCCCATGCCAAGTGCAGGTGGAGGGGACATGCTTGGGGTTAGGGTACATTTCATTGGGGCTAATACCATCCAGGTGGTCTTATCCCGTCATTTACAGTGCGCTGGGAGAATGACTATGAGCTTTTGTGCTTGCAGAGGTATTTACTGCGAGCCACTGGTCTGAAATGGATTCCCAGAGATATTATAGTCTCTGGTTTCCTCAAACAGAAGCTGAAAAAGCCATTATGTTAGGGACCGGTTTTGATTTTGAAGCCCAGTGTGCGAAAATGAGATTCACAGGTGGCCGACGTTTATCCCTGTGCAACTCTGTTGGCACGGTGACGATTCATTTAGACACCGGAAGAAGGAAACAGCCAGATCAGAACTTTCAAGAGGCTATTTCACTGTATAAGTGGAGAATAACCTACATTGTGGCTTCTGTATTGAGACTATAAGGACTGAAAACAATAATATCTTTGTGATAATATATTACAAGAGGAATATTTTTATGGGCATGTTTCCTCTCACACCAAAAAGTGATGGAAGCAGAGGAGTATGGGGAGGAAACCTTCACAAACACAGGAAGAACGTGCAAAAAAGTCCCATCCGAAGGTGGTATTGATCCCAGGACCTTCTTGCTGTGAAGCACAAGTGCTAACCATTGGTTTTGGTTTTATGCCATAAAATTACTTTATTTTCAGTCCTGCATTTTGGGTGGCTTTTTTCATTTCACCACATTCTGCACGCACTGTATGAAAAAAGCTCTTAATGCGATAAAAAAGTGATATAAAAGTGATATTCAATCAATAATTTTTCCACAAAGAGGGCCACAAAGAGCACATGCTCATTCATCATCACGACTTTCCTCGAACATGTCACAATTAAAAAGCCAAAGTTTCACTCTATTTCACCCACACAAAACACACTTTGTTCTTCTAATCTTCGCACAAACATATCCAACGATAATCCCACATTGATTTGGACCAAAAGTGGCAGCGTAATTACCAAACTAGCAAATCCACGAAGAGCCCTACAACTTCTGTAAGAAAGTTAATGAACGCAGGAGCCGACTTCTGAAGGAGTCCCTCAAAAGCCAGAAAAACTGGGGGGACTGGGGAGGGGGGGGGAGGGGGGGGGGGGGGGGGTTAGTGCGCTTCGACCTGACATGAGTCCTTCATAGTAAAGCGGTTTAAAAGATGGAAACCAAACAAAATAATCTCTGAGAGGAAAGAGGAGAACAAGAGGAAGGGGCAGAGTGTTGAGAATCGAAAAAGCAAATTGAAGCATGCTTTGAGGGACGCGGGTATTGTTGGCGTTCTCTGCGGCGTTTAGGGCTAAGCTGTTTTGAGGAGGGATTTAGACGCTTTAAGTTCCATTGTGTTCCTCTACCTTTCTGTCTGCTCCTTTTGTCAAATACTTTTACAGGACTACATTTGGGAAGCTACAATGCAAAGTATACGTTGCTGATTATCCAACAAAAATGGAGCGATTATTTGGCTTATAATTGAAAGCAGAAGTTGCCATCTATAAAGCTGGAATACCTAACTTTGACAATCTAGAATATCAGCTATGTCAAAAAATCCCACAACTGTATATCCCTCAAAATAGTTTAGAGAGAATAAGTGAGAGTACCATCCCTCACTAGGCCAACCAGCTCTCATTAGGTAAAAGCAAAGGAGAGCTTGCAAGGATGTAAGTCTTGTTCACAAGATGGTATTTTTCTAGCTTTAAAACATCTGTTCAACCCTCAAAGCCTACCCCAAACAGAATGCTCAATGTTGAATTTCTATAGAGTGGGTATTATTTTTCCTTTCGTCATGTGCTTTGGATAGTGGCCAAAGGAGTATGTTGAAAGAGTAATCTGGCTCCAGGTAAAGTTGAGAATGTAACATTCGATTAAAGGTACACTGTGTAATTTTTTAGTGCCATCTAGCTTTGAGATCTTATATTGCAGTCCAATATAGTACAGAAGCCCTATCTGCATCACGGTAAGAAAACAGAACATTCACTCACGCTGCAGATAAAGTATTCTGGCAATTGTTTTGTGGGGATTCTGTGTGTGTTTTATTTGAGGCTTTTTCCCTGAATAAATTTAGTTGAAACTCGTGACATAGTTGGACTGCGCTCGGATCGGGTCAGAACATCCTGAGACTGTGTTGCTGATTCTGCCTCGTTCTCATTATTGTCAGTGTGAAAAAGTTTCTTATTGTTCACATGTGACTGTGTTGTGTGCAAACTACACAATGTGCCTCCTGTTGTGTTAACGTTGTCTTTGTGCGTGTGGTTTGCGATGTTGACACTTTGCTGCTATGACGCTGGAATTCTGCATAATTATTTTTCTAAAAGATTGTTGTTCGGGTTGTTCTTTTACATAACTGTGGTCCTCCATGGTTCCTTCTTCCAACTTGTGAAAGCAACGATATCAGGAGCTCAACGAAAATGCGATTCTCGCATCCTTTTTGTCCCTTACCCACCACTGTTTTTCAAGATGGCTCATTGACACGGAGAGCACCCCTCTCTCATGGACACTTATAAGATCAATTCTAAGCCTATGAATACAATTCAAAAAACATGGAGAAGGTAAATATTCTTAAAAAGGTCACATTTGTTATTAGTTATGTTTTTTCATATGGAGCAGCTGTAAAAAATACACAGGGTGGCTTTAAATACACAGCCCAATCATGACTAATGCGTAGATTACCAAGAACAAACAAATGAACAAAATACCTCATATAAAAAAAACAAACAGTGGTACCAGTTCTATCCCGGGTCTAAAAATGTTTGTTGCTCTAATCCAAAGCAAATTACATTGACTCTAATTCAAGAAGTCACAATAACGTGTAGGTATACATGACTCAATTTGGCAAAACTCAAATTCAAAAAGTGCCTCGATAACGACATTCATTCATTTCCTGTATCAGTATTTCACATTTGGTGAAAATCTTTGAAAATAAATCTAAAAATGCTACTATCTTTCATCAGCAAGTAAATATCATGCAATAAATCTTTATTTATGAAGCCTTTACAATACAGAGGGTCAAGGTTAAGAAAATAAAAATGTTATCTTGACATTTTCAAGAATGTAAAAAAAAATCCTGAGAATTTATTTCAAGTAGGTCTGGCAAGTCAATCATTACATTGCTACATATCGCTATTTAATACTTTACATTAATGTCATGCTGAAAAGAGTTTTACAAAGTGTTTGAACAACCCATTCTGAAACAAGTCATCTCTATGAATATGTTCAGGGTCATCACTCAAGCTTTGTTTCTGTCCAATATATAAACAATCCTATGTATCAAAAGCCAGTCTGAATAAATATGTTTTTGGCTTAGACATAAAAAGGCAAAATATTTCCTCAGAATGTATTTCAAGCACCCTCGAACTCTGTCTTAGCTCAATTCAAAAGCTTGTATTTGGTCAATACTATAACATGCAGAAACTTTCAAATTCATATTTCAACCAGCGACCTTAGCGAGTCGTTTCAAAGCCGTCTTTTAGGTGCATTCATCGATCAAGGGCTGCTCGTGCTGTTGGTAAATAGTGGCTTTGTGCGGGGCTGCGACTGACTGCGAATGACACATTAAGAGCTCGCGCTGAAAGGATTAGATTAGATTGTGTGTGAATGAGGACTAATCTGCACTCTTGTTTCTCGCAGCGGTTGATAAGGTGACACAATTAGAGCCAAAGTGAGGAGCTGGGGAGAGGGCACGAGGGCTGCTGATGGGAATGTCAATCCAAATGGCAATGTACAATGCATTCAAAATTCAACTGCTTTATGATTTTTAAGCATCCCTTTGAACTGCCGTAACATTCACTCACTTATATTATCTTCTTACTCAAATGAAGGGCTTGTATTGATTTAGTTGACCTTTTCTTCCCATCTTTCTGTCTCCAAGCTTCACACATCACCGGGCAAGTTTGGTATTGGCCTAACGATCACATACATGTTTGTGGATCCATTGTAGTGCACAATGGATCACTCTTTATGTTGTTTCATTGTACATTTCAATTAAAGCTGCAGCTGTAAAAAAAAATTGTTTCATAAACATTTGGTTTATCCCAACAGAACCGTGTGTGTCATTGTGTACACAATGACTGCATGACACCTGTGGAGGCACATATGCTCACAGCCCTGACTATAGATTTTCATATGGTTCATCATGTTTAGGATTTTTGGAATCACTTCTGTATCACACTCCATGACATGTCTTAAAAGATATCTTTTTAAGTTGAATGTGATCATTTTTATCAGTGGGTTCCTT